GGGGGGGTGGGGGGGCTTGGGCAAGCAACTTAACCTGTGCAGGCCTCAGTCTCCTCCTCTGTGAAAGGGGCACTGGTGTTGGGAGGATGCACATCGTGTAGGGGAGGAAGCCGGGCAAAGTGTGTGAACCCGTCCATCAGTCCCTGGGCCCTGGCCACTTACTGGCGATGTGACCTTGAGCCAGCCTCCCTTGACTCTTAACAGTGATAGAAGCTATCACAATCGTTACTGTGAGGAACAAGAAGGTCATTCCCACAGAGTGCTTAGCAAGTACCTGACAGAAGCTACTAGAATAAGTACTTATCTTGTTGTTCCTCACAGTGCTCCTGTCCCAAGGACCGAGGGAAAACCAGCACCTCTAAGGAGCAGTTTGGGGTGAGGGGCAGGAAGAAATGCTGGGCAAAGTTTGGCTTTCCTTGGGAATGACCTGAGCTACTCTGGAGGGGAAGTGTTGTCTTTACAGAAGGCTTTGAGAGACCTGCCTGGCCTCCTGCCTTGAATGGCAGTGCAGTGCTCCAGGGCCATCTACTCCCTGACTTGGGCTCCCACTGCTTTTGTCCCTCCCTCACTGCCTTTTCATGGTGAGCTACAGGCAAGAGCTCCCTTCAATGAGTGCGACCTTCAGCCCCCCCGGTTGCCCTTGGTCCCTGCAGCCCGGCAGATGCTTGTCTATCTCCCCCCCTCCACAGATGAACACTGATGGATCGCTCTACAGGAACCCATACAGCTGGAACAAGGTGGCCAATGTCTTGTACCTGGAGTCCCCTGCAGGCGTGGGCTACTCCTACTCCCTCAGTCAGAACTACCAGACCAACGACCAGCAGGTGAGAAGCCAAGCCGTTCCAGGAGGAGACAAGGAAGAGGGCGCAGATGGGAAAGGAAGGAAGAAAAACAGGAAAGCAAAATGGGAGTGGGGAGAGAAGATGGGGAAGGAGGGAGGGAGGGAGAGAGGAAGGAACGAAGGAAGTGAGAGAAGGGGACAGGGAGAAATGACTGGAAGAGGCAAGGACATGGCTGATGTCTCCCTAGACCAGAAGCTGAGACTGGTGGCCTGTGGCTGCATCCCCGCAGTCCGTGGATGACTTTGCTTTGACGGGAAGGAGGGAGGGAGGGAGAGAGGAAGGAACGAAGGAAGTGAGAGAAGGGGACAGGGAGAAATGACTGGAAGAGGCAAGGACATGGCTGATGTCTCCCTAGACCAGAAGCTGAGACTGGTGGCCTGTGGCTGCATCCCGCAGTCCGTGGATGACTTTGCTTTGACGGGCATAGCGTCTGCAGAGGCGATAACCTGAATTCTGGGTACCACCATTTGAAAGGTTTCACGTCCACCTTCAGACCGGTGGCCTCTGTTTGTATGAAAGCTTCAAATCAGAGGCATTTGGTGTGTGTGTGAACAGAGCAATGCGAAAGGGGAGCCTTAACCCCATTTTAAAGCCTTGACATGGTTCAATGACAAAAGCTGCCTTTTCTGATGGCAGTGCCCCCCACCTTGAAACTGACCTAACCGTATACACTAGAGAAGACGTTCACTTTTCCCTAATGTCCAGCATGGGCAGATCACAATCTGTTTCCAGCAAGTCTTCCTGCTACGGTTGAACGGATAGGTGTAGGATGTGGCAGCTTATACCAGCGTTATCGATAAACCTTTATATGGGCCTCCACAAACATACACGATGGTGGAAGCAATTTTACTAACAGGTTCCCCGAAAGCCCTGTCCTGCCACCATCCAATGGCCATCCGATAATAAACTGAAGGACACCCGCATTTTACCAATCATGTAACCCAGTTAGCTGTGACCAGCCATTCCAGATCGCCTGCCTTTGTCTTCTCTGATTCGTGTTTAGCCAACTATGATTCTGTAAAAATCACATGCAAATAAAGTTCTGGTGAAGATCATTCCATAATGGTTGTAACGGACCATGGAAAAGAGCTGCTGACAACTCAAAGTCAGATTCAAAAGAGGAACTAGAATGGGGAATGTCGCTATTCTGATAGAGGTTGCCACAAAGCAGGGATGCCAAAAAGATGCTTGCTGGCATTTTGTTGACTATTCGATTGTGCGGATCATAACTGTGAAGAACATCGAGAAGAATGGGAATTCCGAAACACTTCATTGTGCTCACGTGGAACCTGTACGTGGAAGAAAGGGCAGTCATTAGAAGAGAACAAAGAAATACTGGGTGGTTTAAAATCAGAAAGGAATGCGTCAGGGTGCTATCTTTCCATCATGCTTATTCCATCGACACGCTGAGTTGATCGCCTGAAAAGGTGCATTCTCTGAAGAAGAACACGGCATCCGAATTGGAGATCTGCAAATGACACAGTCTTGCTCGTTGAGAATGAGGACCCGGAGCGCTCACTGATGAAGAGCCAAGACTGCAGCCTTCTGAACCTAAAGAAACCCAAATCCTCACAACTGGACCAACAGACAGCATCACGGTACATGGAGAAAAGATCTAAGTTGTCCAAGATTTGGTCTTGCTTGGTTCCGTGATCAATGCTCTTGGAAGCAGCAGTCAAAACATCGAATGACTCATTGCATTGGGCCAATCTGCTGCACAAGACCTCTTTAACGGGCTGAAGAGCGAGCACGTCACTTCGAGGACTGAGATGCGCCTGACCCACGCCCTGGTATTTCCAGTCGCCTCCTCTGCATGTGAAAGCTGGGCCCTGGATAAGGAAGACCGAAGAAGAGTCGGTGCATACGAATTGTTCTGCTGGCGGAGAATATTGAAAGTCGCGTGAGCTGCCTGAAGGAGCACAGGTCTGCTTTGGAGGAACGAGAGCCAGAATGTGCTTTGGAAGGAAGGATGGTGAGCCTTGTCCCACATACCGTGGACATGTGATCAGGAGAGACCAGGCCCTGGAGAGGGGCATCGTGCTCGGTAAAGTGGAGGGGCGGCAAAAAGGAGGAAGGCTGCCAAGGAGATGGACCGACACAGTGGCTGCAACAAGGAGCTCAAACATTTCACGACAATTGTGAGGACGGCAAAGGACGGGGCCCTGTCTCGTCCTCTTGTGCACAGGGTCACGGCGATTAGGGGTTCAGTCCATGGCCCCTACCAACAACAACAGCATGGTTTGGTAACTTTTCATCCCTTTTCTGACTAGTCACACTGAAAAAGTATTTTTCTCATTGTCCATTGGAGCGGCCATTGTCACTCTGCGACTTTGGACACCATCCGGCTGTGAACTCTCCCTCATGACACCTCTACAGACGTAGCATTAAGCAGACTGTGATGATGCTTGCCTACTTGTTGAAAGTCAACCCCTGGCCTGTGTTCACTCTGGCAATGCCCTGGGGGCACCAAGGAGCAGTCAGTCCGACTGGGGTAGTTTGCAAACGCCACAATGATCTCTTATTCACCAGCGGTCACTCCTTGTCCATGGTCTTACACACCTCTGCTTCAGCAATGCTCCCAACTTGGCTTACAGCCTCTTATATGTTAGACCCAAACAACCCTCAGCCCGACCCTGGGGGCTGACAAAGAATGACAACAATATCTCCACCGCATATCGGTCAGGCTGTGGAAGCAAGCTTGTCCCTAGGATATTGGTCTCTTAAATGCTAGCCAGGTTACCCATGGGGAGAGGTTTCCGTGGAGCTTCCAGAGATGACTAGGAAGGAGGGCCTGGTGTTCTACTTCTGAAAAGATTAACCAGTGACAATCTTAGGAAGAGTAACATCGTGTCTGATACAGGGCCAGAGGGGGCACGATGCCCTTCTCCAGGGCCTGGTCTGCCCTGATCACATGTTCACAGTATGTGGAACAAGGCTCACCATCCTTCTAGAGGAGAGGCATTAAATACATGACTGAGGCATTAAATACATGACTGGGAAAGAGGCCCCTTCTCAAAGTCCAGTTGATCTGAAAGACACAGAAGGAGTAAAGATCTTGGGCCTTCATTTGCTCATGTGGCACAATTCCAAACTAGATGATAGAGCTGAAAATGTCCATGAATCATCAGAATGTGGACTATACAAAGTATGACTGTGGCAACATTGGAAAACTGAGATGGGGAGCCTGTCATCAATAGCCTAGGCATTGTGTCAAGTGCCCTTGAGTGGGCTCCAAATCATAGCGACCCTGTGACAGGACATGGCTGGTCCTGACCCATCCTCACAATGGTTATGTTCGAGTCCATTGTTGCAGCCACTGGGGCAGCACTACACTCCACTTCACCAGCATGCTGTCCTTCTCCAGGGACTGGTCTCTCCTGATAACGGATCCAAAGTATGCGAGGCCAAGTCGCAGGATCCTCATTTTTTAAGAAGCATGCTCACTGTACTGCCTCGAAAACAGATTTGTTTTTCTTCTGGAAGTTCATGGTACTTTCAGTATTCTTCACCAACGTGATCAAGTTCACAAGCAGATGAGTTGATTGAAAATACCAGGCCTTGGGTCAGGCTTTCCTCCGTCCTCAGGTGTCATCCTCGCCGTTCAACACTTCAAAGAGACCTTGTGCGGCAGCACTGCCCAGGGCAACATGTCTTGATTTCCTGCCTGCCGCTTTCATGGGTGTTGGTTCTGGATCCAAGTAATGGAAACCCTTGAAAAAGTCCATCTTTTCTCCACTCATCATGATGTTACTTATTGGTCCAGTTGAGCGGGGGTTTTGTTTGCTCGTATGCTAAGGCGTCATCCATCCGGAAGGCTGTCTTAGTGCTTCACGGTCTCCTGGCTTTCAGCAACCAAGGTTGTAACACCTGCATCTGGTGGGCTGTTAATGAGCCTTCCTCTGATGCTGATGCTGCGTGCTGCATAGTCCAGCTTCTCGGATGATGTGCTCAGCAGACAGATCAAATCACGGTGGTGAGAGGACACAGCTGTGACACATGCGTTGCCTGGTGTTAAGTGTTTCCTTGTTCCATTCGATTGATTGCCTTTGGTCTGTGTGCAGGTTCTACATGAGCACAACTGAGTGTTCTGGGATTCCTCTTCTTCGCAATGTTAGACACAGTCTGTTACAATCCCCACAGTGGAACACCTTCACATGTAAACATCACTCTGCTTTCAGTCTACTATTCTGCTTTCAGCCAAGATCTAGTGGTTAGCAACAATGATATCCCTCATTCCACCTCCTCTTCTGAATCTAACTTGAATTTCTGGCAGCAACCTGCCAATGTACGGTTGCATCTAATTTTGGGTTATCATCCACAAATTTTCCTAGCATGTGATATTTTTTAATTAATTTTTTCCCTATCATGCGATGTTAATGATAATGTTGGATAGTGTCTTGCTTCTCTTTGGGTCACTTTTCCTTAAAATGGGCACAAATATGGATCTCTTCCAGTCAGTTGGTCAGGTAGCTAGCAATGAAATTTCTTGGTATAGATGAATGATTCCAATTGCATTAGTCTTTTTGTTTCTTTTAAAACTTTTTATGGTGAATTAGGTGATGAGATTTACAGAGGGAGTATCGTCTTACATTCAACAATTCATGCACATTTGATTCAATTAATTCATCCATACCATTGAGGGGATCCTCAATGGATTATCATCTATTCCTCCTTCTCGCTGTTTCCATTCCTAACTTTCGGAACTTTGTCCTGGGGTAAATGCCACTCTTTGATCTTAAAGAGTTGACTAGCCTACCACAGTGGTGAGGTGACTCCCATTCCAGATCTGAAGGGTGACTACAGACAATAGTCTTGCAGGTTACATTAGGGTTAGGTGGGGGTTGTTTTTGTTTTAACATTTCTATTTGTATTCCGTCAATTCCTGGAGCCTTGTTTTTCTGCTAATACCTTCAGTGCAGCTTAAACTTCTTCCTTTTTAATACCATCGGTTCTTGACCATCTGCTACCTCTTGAAGTGATTGGATACTGGTCAATTCTTTTGGATACAGTGACTCTGTGTATCCCTTCTCTCTTCTTTGGGTGCTTTCTGCATCATTCGATATTTTGTCCATCGAGTTCTTCAATATTGCAACTCGAGCCTTGAGTTTTTTCTTTAGTTCTTCCCATTTAAATAAGGAGAGGGGCAGACTCTGGGGTTAGGGAGTCCTGTAAGGCTCATACGTGGAGGATCTTTTAAGCTTCACTAGAAAGCTCGAAGGGTGTCCCACTGTGGCTGAGGAGCCTCCTCTAGACTTAGTGGAGAGAATAGGCCAGAGGAGGAAGAGCTGAATTGGAGGATATCTCAAACAGATGATCACTTTGGGCCCTTGGCTGGGTGGGCAAGGTGGCCTATAAGTCTCTCCCATCTTGACCAGCTTCTCTGGCCTCATGTCCTCTCCTGGCAGGTGGCTGCTGACAACTACCAGGCCCTACTGAGCTTCTTTGAAAAGTTCCCCACTTTTGCCAACCACGACTTCTACGTCTTTGGAGAAAGCTACGGGGGAGTGTATGTCCCCTCCCTGAGTGCACAGATCGTCAGGGGCCCATTTTCCATCAACTTCAAGGTAAGTCTCCGGCCCCTGCTGGCCAAGGAGAGCCCTCCTCGCCCCTCCACCACACACATACATACACACTTCCTTTATTCTAGGGTGTTCTAGGCACTGGGCTGACACTGGGGGTATGGGAGTTACCAAGACAACACGCTCCCTGCCTCTATGGAGCTGAAGTTCCGAGTGGGTGGAAATAGGCACACTTAGCAGACACGGACATAAACAAGCTCCTACAGGAGCCTTGGTGGTGTCGTGGTTATGCACTGGGCTGCTCACTGCAAAGCCAACAGCTGGAAACCCCCAACCTCCCCCTTGGAGGAAGACGGGGGCGGGGGTTTCTACTCCCTCAAAGAGTCACAATCTCAGGCTCGGAAAACCACCAGGGCTGTTCTAGAAACCCCGTCTTGTAGAGCCATTGTGAGTCAGCATTGACTTGATGGCAGTGAGTTTGGTTGGGTTTTGTTAGGAGAAGGCGAAGAACGGCGCAGGAGGTGACTGGGATAAGGTGGGTTTGGGGAGCCTTCCTGAGAAGGAGTCAGCTGAGCTGAATGTTGAGAAGGAGCTGCAGAAGAGTTGGAAGAAGGGGAGTTCAGACAGGATGGTGGCAGAATAGTTCTGGGGTTGGGGTGGAGCAGGAGGAAGGACACCACTGTGGCCAAGGCCGAGTGAGCAAGGGTGTCCCACCAGGGGCCAGATCATGGAGGCCCAGGGAGCAGCTGTAAGGACTCGGGCCTTTATAAGAAGGTGCAGGAAGCCTTTGAAGAGGTTTTAGCAGTAGGGTGGGTTATGGAGGGTGAGGTCTACAAGGTGTGATTTATCATAGAGGTGGGTCCCTGGATGACACAATTGGTTTGTGCTCTCCTACCAACCTAAAAGCTGGCGGTTCAGACCCACTCGGGAACACTGCGGAAGAAAGGCCTGGCATTTGGCTTCCACAAAAACCATTGCCCAAACTAGTCATAACAAGGAGAGGGAAAAGGAACATGTTCTAGAATCGACTGCAGTGATGATGGCATGACCCCTTTTTAAATATATTTACACTATTGCATTGTCAATAAAACTGTTCAAAATATGTGTCAATTATATGTCAATAAAACTGTTCAACAAAAAAACCCAACAACACAAGAGCAGTTCTACTGTCCACAGCTCTCTGGCGACAGGCTTGGTTCTGGGTTTAGGATCCATTGCTGTGGCTTAGGACAGAGGTGGCAGTGGAGGGTGGACTATACTGTGAAGGGGAGATGGAGATAAATAGGGAGCTGGGCATACCTTTGGAGGATAGAGCTTACGTTCTGCCCTTAGCCTTTGCATCCCTTGCCCTCGTCAGCCTCTTGTGTCTCTATCCCTCAAGGAGGCTCATCTGAATTCTGGGCTCTGGGATTCTGAGGACAGTTCTATGCTCCTCCTGCAGGGGAGCAGTAGAGTCCTCTGAGTCTGAATCCTGGCCCTGCCAAACTGGCTGTGTGGCCTTAAGCAGCAGTTCCTCACCTGTAAAACAGGAGTGTGAACAGTAGAATGTGCCCCTCGGGGTTAGTCCTGGGGATTCAGTGAGTCAGAGAACAGAAAGGGCTCAGCACAGGCTGAGCGTCATCACGGCCCCTTCCGGGAGGGGGCTTCCCACCATCTCCTTGTCTTCTCTTCTGGTTTCAGGGCTTTGGAGTGGGAAACGGGATGAGCAACTACCAGCTGAACGACAATACTCTAGTAGAATTCGGCTATTACCACGGCCTCATTGGTGACGAGTAAGCCCCTATCATCTGTACCCTGTGGCACACCTATCTCGGAGGCAGGTGGTTCTCTGCCATCTGTAGGCCAGAGGCCGGGGAGGCTGCCAGGCAGGCCAACTTAGATGGAAATATGGGGTGGGGGGTGATGATGGGGTGACTGAGTTCCGGAACTGTGGTGGGCCGGGGGAATGGGATCCCTGCCCTGGTTGCCTGACTGAGCTCTGCCCACAGCCTCTGGGCCACCCTCCAAACCTACTGCTGCTCCAAAGACACCTGCAACTTCTTCAACAACACGGAAGACAACTGCTTCGATGCTGTAAGTCACCCTCGAGGGAACTTCTCTTTCCTCCAATGGTGAAGTGGCAGGGAAAGCCAGCCCCTGGTGCGGCACACCAAACCAGCCCAAACCAGCCCACCTCACTACCTGGACAGGGGAGAACCATGCTTTGGGGTTTTTCTGAGGCTATAAATCTTTACAGGAGCAGGAAGCCTCAATTTTTTTCCCAAGCAGTGGCCGGTGGATTCAAACTGTTTACCTCGCAGTTAGCAGCCCAATGTTGTGTAACACACTATGCTGCCAGCGCTCTCAATGTATTGTATACGCTCCTTCCTTTGTTCACTGCGATCCAGTCGACGGATGCCAACTCATAGTGACCCTAGGGGTTTCCAAGACTGTAACTCTTTATGGCAGCAGGAAGTCTCATCTATCTACCAAGGAGCAGCTGGTGGTGGTTTCGAACTGCTGACTTTGTAGTTTATGGCCCAACGTGGTGTAACCACTACGCCACCAGGGCTCCTGTGATGCACACACACACCCTCCCGACTCATGAGGCTTGGCTTCCCCTGTGAGTCACACATCAAAGCTGGTAGGCAGGCAGCTTGGGAGGGCCCAGGTTACTGTTTTAAAAAATATAACATATTGTTCTGTTTGACAAGCTAAAAATAGAGTCCTGTGGGTGACAAAGGAGCCTGTAGCGGGGACACATTGGTCTGTGATTCAGAGGTGGGCAATTTGAAACCACCCGCTGCTCCTCAGGAGAAGAATGGGGCTTTCTACTCCGATAAATGGCCACGGCCTCAGAGCCCCACAGGGGCATCAACTCCATGACCGTGAACTTGGTTTTTTGGATTGGTGGTTGATAACATGGCGGTGGTGGTAGAGTGGACAATGTCCAAGACCTTGTCTTTATCAAAACTTAGACCTAGCTTCCCTGCCAACCAGGAGCCCTGGTGGGGTCATGGTTACACGCTGGGCTGCTAACCACAAAGACAGCGGTTCAAAACTACCAGCTGCCCCTCAGGAAAGGGACACGACTTTCTGCTCACATAAAGAGTTACACTCTCAAAAGCCCACAGGAGCAGCTCCACCCTGTTCTGTAGGGGTGCTGTGCATTAGAATCGACTCGATGGCAGTGAGTTTGGTTGAGTTTGGGTTCTTGTCAATCAGGCCACCTTCCTCAAGCAAGGAGATTCAGACAGCATGCCCACACTCTTTCCTTGAGTAATGAGAGACTGGCTGTGTCTCAAGAGTAAATTGTATGAGCCAATCAAAATTGAGCTTATTCAGTTTCCTCGTTTTGTCCATAGAAGCCAAGCACTGCTGAGACTTGACGGAGGGAGTACCTTCCCACGTGGGGTCTGGTGCTTTTCACAGGTGGTTTAGTATCTCCGGCCCAAATAAATCTCATCTAATATATTAATTTTATTAGTCACGCAGTTTCTTTTGATAATCTTCATCTCAAGTTCAAACAGTATGGAAGTTTAGTGTGTTCCAAACTTAAATTTGTTATTATCCCAAGAATACATTATTATCCTGGTCCCTCTTATAGACAGGAAACTAAGCCAACCCCAGACTTTCTAGCCAGTGAGAGAAGAGACTGTACAGCAATGGTTCTCAACCTGTGGGTCGTGACCCCGTTAGGGGTCAAACGACCCTTTCACAGTGGTCGTCCAATTCATAACAGTAGCAAAATGACAGTTATGAAGTTGCAATGAAAATAGTTTTATGGTTGGGGGGTCACCACCACATGAGGAACTCTGTTAAAGGGTACAGCATTAGGAAAGTTGAGAGCCACTGTTGTAGAGGAAAAGAATTCAGGTCTTTCCTGCCCAAGGGTAGAGTTTGTCCTCCAGGCAAGGTGGCCTCTCACCACACCCCTCGACCTTTCCCTTATCCTGCCCTCCTCCAGAAGAAACCCTGCTCCAGGTCTGGACAAACACTCAGTAGTTAGGCCCTGAGCCTCAGCCTAGATAGCACTCACCAGGGAGCCCAGGAATGACCACTGAAGATAGTGGTGACAGCAGTGTTTGCTGTCACACCATCCAGGCCCCATCCCCCCACCCCCAGAAGGGTGTGTGTCTCCGAATGCAAATAGTTGTTTTAAGGGAATTCTGACTTCATCCATCACCAAAATGATTTGGTGTCAAAGTAAGACAGCCCCTGAAATCTTCTTAAAACCAATCAATAATTCCTTTCCCAGCGGTTCTCAACCTATGGGTTGCCACCCCTTTGGGGCTCGAATGACCCTTTCACAGGGGTCGCCCGATTCTTATCAGTAGCAAAATGACAGTTATGAAGTCGCAAAGAAAATAATGTGATGGTTGGGGGTCACCACCACATGAGGAACTGTATGAAAGGGTCACAGCATGAGGAAGGTTGAGAACCACTGCTTTAAACAAACAACCCCACTGCCATCATGTCTGACTCCTAGCCACTCTCTAGAGGAGTAGAACTTCTCCATGGGGTCTCCATGGCCAAAGAATGTCTGTCTTTCACTGTGACCGTTCAACAACAAAAGTCATTTGGTACAAACTTCAGCCTTCTCTTGTTTTCTTTTTGAAAGTGAACTGCAGAAGGTGTCAGAGGGGATGCATGCCCAGAGCACCATGATGAGTCAAACTGTGTGCCCAGAGCTGGTGGTGCTGGCCCTCCAGTCCTGGTTAGCCATTGCCTTGAGTCAAAAACTAACCAAATGCCTTGGCTTTCATTTTGGTCTTTGATAAAGGCTTATTGTCTGTAGGGAGTTCTTTCAGGTCACTGCAAGAAAGATCTGGGGATATACTTCTAAAAAGCCAGCCACCAAAAACTCTATGGAATACAATATCCTATACATGGATAGTCAACGAACAACTTGTCCTGTCTACTCCATGTTCTAATTCAGATTTCTGCTAAGAAGTCTGCTTCCACAAACCCTTTTGATGTTCTTGCTGTGCGTGCCCACGTGGAATACTCTTTTATTTTTCCTTTCATGTGGAATACTCTTAAGAACAGGAATGGGTCAGATGGGAGGACCAGCATCTTTGGCCCAATCTAAAAGGGCTAAATTAAAACAAATCATGAACCTTTGGTCTGTAAAACAGAAGGGAGCCCCCTGGCTTGGTGGAACTGGTTGGTACTTGATAGCTCTCTCCCTGTAGAAAAGGTTTATGCCAAGGTGAGGCCAGAGGGCAGGAGCTCAGGTCCCACAAGTTTTGTGTCAGGTTGCTTGCGTATCAAGGTAATTAGACCCTATGGTTAAATATACAGCAAACTGTTTGTGTTTCGCCCTAAACTTGGCAAGAACTTGGACTGATTTTTCTCCGCAGGTCTTGAAAGCCTATGGTATGATTCAGGGTGTTGGCCTCAACATCTACAACCTCTACTCACCCTGCTGGGGGGCACATGGCTACCAGGGGCGCTATGCTGCTGACATGAGCAACCTCTTCAGAAAATACCAGTTCAATGTGGCTGCCCCCGTAAGTGGTTGGGATGTGGGATGGCGAGGGGTGGGCCTCGCCAAATCGTCACTGACTCAATAACAAGGGCTTGGTTGGGTGTGTGGGGCGTGGAATAACAAAATAGGGATATCACGTGTCTGAGACTTTGAACCCTGTCCCCTCCAGCCTCCAGGTGGTCCCATCCCCGGTGTGCCTGCGTGCATCAATGCTACCGCCATGTACATGTGGCTGAACCGGAATGACGTGAGGCAGGCCCTCCACATCCCCAACTCCCTCCCTGTCTGGGAACTGTGCAGGTGAGTCCGGGAGCCATGAGAGAGGCAAGAAGGCGGGGCTGTGGCCCCACAGGACTGAGGGCCCAACCTGGGGTGGAGGTAGGACAGAGACAGCAGACCCGGCATAGGGGCTGCGAGAGGGATTTTGTTCACTCTTGTAATTCCAGCACCTGCAACAGTGCCTGGAATATAGTCAAAGCCATTGCCCCGGAGTCCATTCCAGCTCCCAGCAGCCCTCTAGGACAGTGGTTCTCAACCTCCCTCATGCCAAGACCCTTTAATACAGTTCCTCATGTGGTGGTGACCCCCCTGAACCCCCCAACCATAAAATTATTTTCGTTGCTACTTCATCACTGTAATTTTGCTACTGTTATGAATCAGGTGACCCCTGTGAAAGTGTCGTTTGACCCCCAAAGGGGTCTCCACCCATAGGTTGAGAACCGCTGCTCTAGGACATGGTTCTAGGATAGTGTTCTGTAATTTTTACTGAACTTCACAGATGGGGAGGCTGCCATATCTCCCATGGACAAGGGTTCATGGGACCTGGGAATGAATTACCAACCTTTTGGTTAGCCCCTGGGAGTACAACTACTGCACTACCATGGGGCCTTGAAACATAGTAGCTACTTAAGGAAGATCTGTTGTTAAAAGCCATCACTGAAGGGGAGGCACAAGTTGTAGTTGGAAAGGCCCAAAGGACCTGTCTTCCAGGATAAGGATGCCGCAGAAGGTGATTTGGGGGTGTGGGTAGGCTCATGCCTGGAAGCAAATGTTTGTTGGTTATGCCCTACTCTCTGGACATGGCTGCCTGGACGTCACCTCTGCTTCTCTCTGCAGCCCCCAGGTTAGCTCCCAGTACCAGAGGCAGTACTTGGACATGGCTCCTTTCTACCAGGAGCTGCTGCAGCATGACCTTCGCGCCCTTGTCTACAACGGGGACATTGACATGGCTTGCAACTTCCTGGGTGGGGAGAGGTTTGTGGAGGCCCTAAAACAACCGGTGAGAAGATGGCACCCTGAGGGGAGGGCGAGTCCGGAGGCCTGGGAATGGAAGGGGTGGAGCTAGAAGTCTTCCCAAAGCCGCCAGAAAGAATCTGTACTGGCTGCATTCCTGTCTTGGGGAAGAATTCTCTAGAACAAGAAGACTGGAGAGATGGATTTCTTCCTTTCTTGGGTCAAAGAATCCCTGAGTGATGCAAATAACCAACACGTTAACCAGTGGTTGCAGGTTCAAGTGCACTCATAGGGCCCAGGGAAAACCCTGGCAATCTGCTTCCCAAACATAGAGACCAGATGGCAACGGAGACCAGTCTCGAAGCCCAGATGGTGGAGACGGAGTCTCTCCTGCCTGTGGCTACAGTCCAGCTTTCCTTAATTCCCCAAATTCCCTGAATTTTGGACAGGAGAACTTCTGTCCAAAAGAACTTCACGGGCATTTAAATGTGTGTCAGTCTCCGCATCTAAAATTAAGACTCTCCCCTCTTCTCCAGCTACAACCCTCCTTCTCTCCCCCCCACCCAATCTGGCAGCAGCTTCCTCAATCTGCAGAAACCTCTCCAAGGTCTCCAGTGGCCACACAATCCAAGGACCTGGTCAACCCCCTCTGCTTGATCACTCAGAAACACAAGGAGCCCCCAAGCTTCCTGACTCACAGGGCCTTGGGCCTTGGGCCTTGGCTGGGGCTGCTCCTCCCTGTCCTTAACTATGGCCTTGAAGATCAACATTCCTTAGGCCCTGGGGCCTCTGCTTCCTCTAACAGCTGCTCAACTTTCAACAAACAACTCCAGTCCCTGAATCACTCTGAGCCCTAGCTCTCAGGGCCCATTGGGCTTCCTCACTTGTGTGACTCAAAACCAAAGCACACTGCTCTGGATGGATCCTACAGGACAGGGAAGAATTGCCCCTTAAGTTGTGAGACTGTAACTTTTTTTTTTGTTTTGCTGTTCAACACTTTATTTATTTTCTAAAGCATTTTATTAGGAGCTAATCTAGGACAAGATACCATTCCATAGTTCAAATACGTCAAGCAGTGTTGAACAATTGCTGTCCAAATCAGATTCAAAATATTTTTTCCTTCTCATTTATTTTTCCATGACCAAGTTAAGTTTATTCTGGCAATGAAAGAGTAAGAGTGGTTTAATATTTGGCCATCAAACAATGTCATCTATCATATTAACAGAATAAGATAAACTATTTCATTTCAATGGACACATTTTGGTTGTTTAATCCTTTTATTAGAGGATTGTACAACTCTTATCACAATCTATACAGCCATCGATTGTGTCAAGCACACTTGTACATTTGTTGCCATCATCATTTTCAAAATATTTTCTTTCTACTTGAGCCCTTGGTATCAGCTTCTCATTTTCCCCTCCCCCCCACCCTCTCTCCCTCATGACCCCTTGATAATTTATAAATTATTATTTTTTCATATCTTACACTAACAGATATCTCTCTTCACCCACTTTTCTATTGTCTATCCCCCCTGGGAGGGGGTTATAGGTAGATCATGGTAATTGGTTCCCCTTTTCTCCTCGTACCTTCCCCTTCCCCTCCTGGTATGACTACTCTCAATATTGGTCCTGAGGTTTGCTTGTTTTTTTAATACAAAACTCATTCATGATAAAAAAGTTCAGACCTATGGTAATACTTCAACCGAATTAAGGATATCTATGAAAAGCCGTTTTTTCCCCAACAAAACACTTTATTGAGAGCTAATACATAAGTCATATCATTCCATAGTTCAATCACATCAAGCAGTGTTGTACAATTGCTACCACAGTTTCAAAACATTCGCTTACTTCTTGAACTCCTTGACTGTAACTCTTTAAAATATATTAATATATGTTAATAATATTATTAATTTATATATAATTCTCTGGCTCAATCACATTGAGTAGAATGTAAAACTGTTACCAAAATCAGTGTCCAAACATTCTTTTTCTACATGGACTCCTTGATATCATCTCCCTTTCAACACCCCCCAACTTAACTTCTCTTCCCCCAAAACTCTTATTCTACTTGCTGTCTCATCAACCCTGGGTTTCATTTACCGAAAAATGGAAAAGCACATAACACAACTTTAAGAGGGTGACCTTCAATGACATGTCACCACTGACATACATCCTAATATGGACAAGCAAAAGCCTCATCTTTCTCCCATGGAGTGGCTGGTGGTTTCAAACTGATGACGTTGCAGTTAGCAACCATATGTGTAATCCCTACATCCCCAGGGCTCCCCATAGGTGACTCATAAGCACCTGACGTCACCAAATCAAACTCACTAACACTGCTCCCAAGTGTGCTCCTGCAGTCTCCCTCCCTCTCTGCAGGCCACCCCGCCCCTTTCACTTCTCCCTCATCTTTCAGAATCTATCCTTTGCCAAAGCCTGACAAGTGTCCCACCCCACCCCAGCTCTGGAGGCTCCACTTCCTTCCATCCTCCCACCCACCAGAACTTTCCTTAGAACACAGCCAGGGTGGCTTTGTTGTTGTTAGTTGCTATTGGGCCAGTTCAGATTCACAGCAACTTTATTTACAACTGAGTGAAGCACTGTCTAGTCCTGAGCCATCCTCACCGTTAATGTCTGAGGCCATGGTTGTAGCCTCTGTGTGGATCGTTCTGGATGAAGGTCTTTATCTTTACTGTTGATCTCTACCAACCATCATGTCCTGCCCCAGGGATTGACCCTTCTTGATAACATGTCCAAAGGACACAAGACAAAGGTCTCACCATACTACCTTCTAAAGAGGACTTCGTCAAGGAAGATGTGTTTGTTCTTCTGACAGTTCATGGAACTTTCAGTCTTCTCCAAACTCCATAAAACCAAACTCACCCAAGTCAATGCCAGCTCACAGAGCCCCTAGGACAGAGTACAATTGCCCCTGTGGATTTCCAAGACCGTAAATCTTTACCAATTGAAAGCCTCTTTTTTCTCCTGCAGAGCAGGTGATGGTTTCAAACTGTTGACCTTGTGGTTAGCAGCCCAATGCATGTGTGCCCACTAAGCGGTTTCATGGCTCCCCATTCTCTCTCTGATCTTCCCGATTCATTGTCTAGCTTTCCCAGGCATATAAGGCAAATGAAAATACCAAAGCTTCGATCAAGTGCATCTGAGTCCTCAAAGTGACAGCTTTCTGTAGTTTTAAGACAATGCAAATGTAGGCTTCCCCGCCACACCCTAGACCTTGTCCCTGACCAGCCTTTGGTCTTTAAGTCTTCAAATAAGCATAGACCCAAAGATACCTTCTCTCAGCAGGCATCTTGGCTACAATGACCTCCTGTTCTTCTTACTTTTCACTCAGTCAAACCCCCAGCCTGCTTCACATCCTCTGCCTGGACTGAGTTGCAGGCTTCCCCAAGTCCTTGGGTTATCATCAATGGCTGATTTCTAACCTGTGATCAGCACCTACCTGCATAGGCACCTGACGTCCAAATATTTCTACTTCCTTTTGGGAACAAGGAGTTCCTCCAACCCAACCAACCCCGCCACTATGGCGTCAATTCTGACTCAGTGACTCAATAGGACAGAGTAGAATTGGCCCCTGTGGATTTCTGAGACTGTAACTCAGAGTAGAAAGCCTCATCGTTCTCCCATGGGGAGGCTGGTGGTTTCAAACGGTGCTTCCCAGCCCCACCCTAACCCACTATGCCACCAGGGCTCCTGAAAGTGTTCCTGGGTGGTACAAATTATAACCCACTTAGTTGTTCACTTAAAGGCTGAAGTTTGAGTCCACCCAGAGGCACCTCAGAATAGGGTCCTGGGGATCAACTTTGATTTGGAGCATCAGGTGCCTGTGATTTACTCTAGTGGAGACGACTAGCGGCCTTCTAGGAGACTAAAGTTTGGAGTACTCAGAGACTGGGCTCACTGACAGACAGCATTGTGCTGCTGTGCTGAGTGCCTGACTGTTCAGAGCTAGGTTCCCAGCCCCTCGTGGGCATTTCATCAGTGGTTATCAATTGAAGAAATGAGGGCTCTGCCCTGGTGGTGGAAGCAGAGGCTGTAGGGCTGGTCTGGGCTCTTACATCCCTAATGCTCCAGCTTTCCTTCCTTCCTTCCTTCCTTCCTTCCTTCCTTCCTTCCTTCCTTCCTTCCTTCCTTCCTTCCTTC